AACATAAGTAAAAAAAACTTGTGCCATGAAGGCAACCTCATAATACCAATACAACAGGCTTATGTGGTAAGAATGATGTTCTATCAAGAGCAAATCCACACACATTTGGGATGATGCATTTTCAATATATTGTTGTTTTTAACATACACCTAACTTAATAGATTTATTGGTCTACTTATTTGGTATGACTGTATGACTGCATTTAAAATCCTGCTAAATAAAGCAAGAAGATTCAAAACATCAGAGTGCAGACGTCACAAATAGTCTTTTTAAGTATAATGATCATATTTGAGTGAAATATTAATAACATCTAAAGTTTGAAAGTTTTAAACATGGATAAAGCAAAGTTATTTCTAAGAATGTTTGACTGGAGTTTATAAAGACGAGAAAACAAAAACTATTGAGATTTCCTACTCAGACTATTTGTCCTCTTTATAACGAAGCTTTGCAGCATCTTTTAGCAGGCAAAAACCTACAGCAGTTTAAGTATGATCTTATAGTTTATTACTTTTTTGTAGTTATTAACGCCTCTTAACAATTGTGACAACCCCAATCTATATACAGTTTAACAACAGTAAAGGTCCCAATGACATAAAATTAATTGCATTTCCGCAAATCAACTTGGCAGCAGCTCAGGTTTTATAGGACTAGTCTTTTATTTTTTCTGGTTTAGAACATCCTAGATATCCTCTGCCTTACGACTACAGCATTTCCTTTAAAGGCTAGAAATCCGCAACTGTCACTGAGGGAGTAAGTGCTCACATCTTCCATAGGATAAATACAAGAGAGGAGGGCAGGCGAATAGAAGAGCAAGAGTGGGAAATGGATAGAGAAAGAGGGAGAGACTGTGTTTGTATGTGTTAGCATGCATGTGCATGCATGAGTGTGTGGGTGGCAAAGTGACAGGCGATGATTAGCACAACCAGCGGAGGATATGTGGGCGGGAGTGTGTGGGAGTAGTGGGACTGGTGGGAGAAATAGAGACTGTCTCTTAAGGCTGAGATATATACAAGTGGATTCTAGGAGCACTCCAACAAACAGATGATGACACATGGTTTATGCACAGAAAAGGCATACTAATATAACTGCTTTTCATGACATATATGCACTATACTGCAATGGATTCCTGTCTAAAGACATCTGATGTAGGCCTACTGAGAATAACCAGAATTAGAGAGGGAAAGGAGGTAAATTCGGTCTCTATTTTATGCCCAAATGACTAGTAAATAGAAACTGGCATGAAAGTATGGAGAAGTTGGACAAATTCTGGTGGCTTTTATGTGTGTAATTGGGGCAAATTGTGACCCATTTCTTGGGAAATTTCTGTGGCATTAAAAGCCTTTTGAAAAGGGGTGCAACAAGGGTACAAGGTTTATACAAATTGTGCATGTATAAATGTGCATGTATAAATGTTAAGTTAGTGGCGCTTGTCTTTTTTTTATATATATAATTCTCAGTTCAGACATATGAATTTCATGGATTGTGATATTTTCCTCCAATCTGGGGATATCTCTGTACCCTGCTGTCAGACAAACAGGAAACTGAGCTTTTTCCTAACAAAGGGTCATAACAATGCAGCTGACCGCAGGGTGGAGGCTACAAAAAAGTCCGGAAAATAAAATGCCAAACTTTCCCCTGGGACAGATTCAGCCATGTACTGTAGGGGACTTTCAGACTGTATACTGCACAAGCGATAAAAAGGGGCTAACATTGAATATCACTAATGTACCATTCAAAATGTTCAAATATTTAGTCCATGCAATGAGGTAATAAACAACACAGCTTTAAAAAAAAAAAAATCATGTTTTTGTTTTCCACTATCAACATCCCTATCAGAACATTTGCATAACATATGCCTCTTGGCTCATAAAGCAAATGTAAAACCAAAACCAAACTGCCGCTTCACACTCACCTGTCTTTAACGGGCTATAGCACACTTGATCCTTTATAAATGAAAGATCTTCAAGAAAGGAGTGCAAATACCATGGCTCTTCCCACAAATAACAGCAACAGGTGCAATGAAAGTTCACATAATGAAAAAAAAAAGAACAAGTGAACTTCAATGCATTTAAAATACAGTATCACGGTCATAGCAGGTACCTATACTAGTTATTGTGCTGATAGACTGCAAATGCCATAGGCCCAAACTTCTTTGGCAGTAAAGGCCTTTCAGCAGAACATTAGTTTCATTCAGATTTGCTTAATTCAACCACAAATCTTGTGAGTAGCCCACGATTTCTACCAGACTTTATAGGTTACATTTTGGACCTGTCCCAGTTATAATGTACTTCAAAAATATAAAGTTGGTTCCCAAAACCAACAAGCAGTTTCATGGAACAGACGACACATTTAGAAAGATGTCTTCAGGCTGAGGTCTGTCCACATTATCAGAACCAAACCAGTTTTTAGTACGCTCCACTAATCTGGAACAAACTCAGAGAAAATGGTAAAACTGCTGAAAACCTAAATTGCTATAAATCAATTATTAATTTAAAATCCTATTTGTTTAAAGCAACCTTTGACTAAGTCATCTAAACATTATTAGTTTACATTTGGAGTCCAACTTTCCTTATTGTATCAATCAATTGATTCAATTTACTAAGTTTCATCATCAGAAACATAAACTGTTATTTACTTTATGATTACTAATCATGTAATAACCGTGATGATCCTGCAATGAGCATGTTTCCATTGTCTGCGGGTAAGGGAGTAATTGGGGACGAACCAAGGGTTGGCTGTACCAGAGGTTGGCTGTTCCCTTAGGTGAAAGATAAGGTACAATTTCTCTGCACCAAAATGATGGAGTTCCTGCTTGATGCAGAGCTGACGGATATTGGGGCACTCTGTTTTTTTTTTCCTTTCACTGGTGGAAGTACACAGATTTTCTATACTTCACAGAAGCTAAACAGTACACCAGGTGGAACTTACTCTGTGATAAAACAACATCACCATGATGTGTGCAATTACCAAATTGACAAGGATAAGAAAAAGACTAAACTCAACTTTGTTTAAAAAAAAAAAAAACAGAAACACTGAAATAAACATTCTACAGCACATATTTCATGAGACAGGCTTGGGAGCAGTGTTATGAATTTAACCAATGGAAAACCTCACAGATGCTGCACAACAGTGAGACTGGGTCACACACTGAATAAAACATCCCGCAAGCACTTTCATGTCAGTCCCTGGTGGCTGGGTGGGAAGAAACCCAAAGAGGATCTCAGCTCCACTGAAACAAAGGCCCTGTCAAATCAACGGTTACCTCTAAGCAGATCAAGCAGTTAAAAGAACAATCAGTGCAAAGGGAATTTCTTTAAGCTTTAGCTGATTTCCTATGTGCTGAGGACGGGTGCCAATACAAAGACTTTACCCAGCTAGAAAAATATTTGTATGAGTGAGAGAAGTGTTACTTTTTTGAAGGATTTGAAAGTTTGTAGAATACAGATTCCCTGTAACCCGAGCTGTAAAAACTTATCTGCCACTTTAAAAGTTGCTCCTGATTCCACCTTTCTTGTCCGACTTAAAACTTTATACATAGATAGATAATCCAGTAAAATTGTTATCAAGCCATAACAAAACTATTTTGATCATTGCCAGAATATTAAGATCTAGAAGGAGAAACATCCCAATCTAAAATGAAATTATTTCACAAAAAGTGATTAGTCTGAATAGGATTTGAAATGTCATTTTAATAAAACATGAAGGAGAATGTTGTGCAATTAGCTTGTAAGCTTCACGTTTATTTTGCCGCAAGTTCAAAAGTTCATCTCTAAAAAAAAGACAAATAAAAAAACACAATTAAGCTTTTGTTAAAGTCTGGACAAAACAGATTAAGATGTTTTGGGATTATTAGAACATAACCCTCGGCTCACAATGACTCCGGTCTTACCGGTGCGGTGCGCTGCAGTGATTCCAAGTCATTAAAAAGACGTAAACCTCTCTCACCGGCTGCTGAGCTGTCCGGCTGCGGTTACCGAGACACTCCGGCGCTGCAGAAAATTCTGCAAGAAAGCTATCCTTGTGGCGTGCCGGAGCCCTCCGCAACAAGCTCTCGCAAATATCCTTATTTGGGCCGTGTTATCGCGTGAAGTTACGTGAACTCAAGTGAACTTCTGTTCTCGCGAGTTAAATCTCCGGACCTGTTGCCGGAGCCGCAGAGCTGGACCGCACCGCACCGTAGTTAAAAGGGCGGTGTGAGAGGGGGTGTGCGGGAGTTGCGGTCTCCGTCGGCTCGGTAACCGCACCGGAGCCAGTGTGAGCAAGGGGTAACAAACATGCTCAAAAATTATCAAATGTTGTAGAATTAAACCAAGTCTGGACAGAACAGTGAACCAAACATTCTCCACAGTTAATACAAAAGCTTGATGTTTGTTTTTTTATATTGATAAAGTTTAAGTGCACCAATTCTGTAATATAGGAAGAGGTTTGTTTAAAATACCTTTTCCTCTAACAATAATAAACTCTTAAGAAATGCTTTTTTTTTCTTCTTTACTAAGGTTTTCTTTATCTTACATGAAAATGTGTTTGATGGTCTAAAAAATTTGAGTGTGAGAAAAGAATAAAAAAATAGAAGATATTTGTGACCAAGCAAATACCCTTGCATACTACCTAGTGCATCCTATTGTTTTACACAAAACCTTTAGCCTTCACAATATCATCTAAACTAGTAAAAAAAAAAACATCAGTTTCAACTTCCAGCTTATGCATAGCTGTTAGGCTTTTGTTTCCTGATTATGTTTTTGTTTGGTGAACAATCAAAGAGCTAATTGGTTTTTTAATAAAAACAACTCTGTAAAAAAATCAGATTCAAAAACAAAAAAATTACTTCTGTCATTCCACCAACACATTTACTTTTTAACACTGTTCAACATAGAAAGCAAATGTTTGTTTATGGAGGTGTATAAAAAGGCAATGCCAATGCAAGCAAAGCTAACGCAGACAGATTAAGAGAGAAAGTGGCAACAAGTACTGAGTTCACCTAAAGTAAGTCGGTGACTTACCCAAATCTTTGGATCCTTGACTCTCGCTGGCAAGTTCACCCATTCTGACCAGAGCATCAAAGTAGCCTTTTGCAGCAAATGTTACACCTGCAAAAAAAAACATTAAAAAATTCTTACTTTAAAAGAACTGAATGTGAACAATTTAGTTTTTTAGAAACAGATTCACCAACTTCCTGACTGAGAAATCTGCAAAACTTTGCTCAATGGAAATAACTGCAAAAAAATTAATAAAATATTTTTCTCATAATTTTGGCAAACTCTCATTAAATACTTGAAAAGGTGGATATTTGATTTAAATAAGCAAGAGATTTTCAAACAAACAAGCTACTGTAATAAAAACACTATATTTAATTGAATTGGAATCATTACTTGTTTAGGGGCTACTACATTTGATTTCGGTGGATATTTCTACTTATATCCATGCATGCTTGTGTGGTATTTGCTCTAAACCTCTCAAAATAAATAGCTGGAAACAGTTGGAAATACTTTCATTTTCTTTCCTCAATATTTTTTCTACTTCTTTTTTTTTAATACATTCCATTCATTTGTAATATGTCTGCAACAATTTTCTTTTTAATTCCAAACCGAAATCCTATTGTATCCATGAACCTGAGCATGTCTTTATTTCTATTAGTTTTTAAAAGTTTATAGAGATAATCTGAACATTTCAAAAGCGTAATTATTTTACTTAAGATTTTATATTAAACCCATTTAAATTTTTGACAATGTGTTGTGAAATGTGTCGCCTGCTTAAAGCAGAACTATTATGTGCAGCTTCTGCTGCTGGATCTATTAGTCACATTATTTTATTTCCCCCAACCCAAATTTGAGATTAAAAACAATATATGCAAATCGTCTGTTGTTAAAGTGGGTAAAATATAATTAAAGCAGGTGCAGAAAATGCAGTCACTTTGAAATACTCCATTTATAAGTGGCCAGCTCTATAAGAGGTCTACACGGTAAAAAAAAAAAAAACATTGTTACTTTAACACATACAGAGTAGAATATAACTCTGTTGCAGATAACATTTGGTCACATTTTAAATTATTGTAAAATGTATTCTATAGTCAGTGTCAGTTTAAAAAAAAAATAATATTTTACTCACATAAGTGTCAAACTTGTCTCTCGGAGACTGGTATGTAATTAAAACCATATAGAGAAGTAGTTACACTACATTGCTGTCAATTTTTACACAGATTAACTCTTAACACTTGAGATTAACACTTGAGCAGATTTACACTCAGTGTAGTTGTAAATACTCCATTTAGAGTTAACCTATTTAACTCTGAATTCTTACCACCCAATTTATTACTGTGCATATGTTAAACTGTGTTCAAAACATCCACAGCATGAGCTCTTTGACTTAATGTGAAGTTTGAGAGGACAACCTTAAACAGAAACAGAAAAAAGAAAAAAAAAAAAGACTGTAGAAAGCAATTTAGACAGTGTCAGTCAAAAATCAAAAATCGATCAATCATTTGGAGTAAAAAAAAATCAAGTAAAGCATTTTTCATTCTGAGGCTGATTTCGATGTGAGAGCAACGGCTAACAAAGGAATCAATAACGGCTCAAAGAAAACATTACAGCTTCATCAAAGAAGCAGCATTACGGGCTGTTAACCACATGCTGCTACCTGGCATTTTCAGTCTTCCTTTCCATTTAACCTGCCGTGCATGTGAGCAGGCAGAGACCCTCACTTGGGGAAAGAGCTGATTGAAGGATGAATGAATTAGAGCATATAGAGTTCTTTACAAAGATTAGAACCGGGTGGTGAAGATGTGAGTGGTGGGGGGGTTTGCAGCTAAAGGAAACATGCTTTGGTTCAGTGTGGAAAAGTTTAAGCATGGACCGGTTCATGGTATGAAGGTGCAAAACACAGATGTTTTAAAACACTACAAACTCAAAAACATCTTGCTATCATGACGAACCTGTGGTTTAACTTTCAATACGATGATGTAATAAACAATAAACCATCTGGTTCAAAAACTGGCATGATCATAAAAAAAATAAATAATCAACAAAATTATGCATACTTTTGTCCCTATTTTGACTGATTTTTTTTTTGGACCACATTCAGATTAACCCTAATATATTAAACATAGCTGAAACAATTGATATGTCATATTCTACCACTAGTATACTGTAGTTATTTGTTTTTCAGTTAAAAGGCCATTTTAGACCTCTTTCAATTACTGTGAAACTTTACTGCTTTGATCTCTGAGGGTTTGGACGAGTAATTTATTTTATTGTATCATGACAAAAATGAATGTGTTTTAAGAAGCTTTCATTTTGACATATTGCTTTCTACAATGGCTAATTTGTTCATATTAAACTTGCAAACAACTAAGTGCCTAGAATCAGCAGTCTGTTTACGGCTGGAAAAGCACTGGCTGTAATAGAAATGACCCCTGCACCTCCCTATAGTCTTAGTAATACAGAAAATGCTTGATAAACTCTTATTCAAGTGTTTGCACAAAAATATATGTATAAAAATAATATGTTAACTAGCCAGTAGCATTAACTTCTTTTACCTGAACTCAACAAGGATAAATCAGGGTTCTAAAGGACAATAAGCATCCAAACCCTATTATTCAAAATGCTGGTATGCTGGCACTTAAGGTCACACAGGACACATGCAAGTTTTTAAAGAATTCCTGTTTGACTGCCCAGTGGTTCTCCTCCAATCTATGGAGAATAATGGCTACTGCTTTTGAAGGTGAATTCAGCAGCAGTGCAGATGACAGGTTGGACTGGACCAGGAGACAGCTGCCAGGTGTAGGACACATTTACAATAGAATGGCAGGGACAGGCTAATTCTAACAGGCAGATGCAGACATCCCATCAGAGAAGAAGGCTTCCAAGCAGAAAGACAGATGCTACTGTTGGTACCACTTACAGCTGAACCAATGGCAAAGCATGGCATGTGTTTTTTTTTTTTCTTTTGTAATTTCTTTCTCCACCTCAAATTCATAATTCCAAACATTCCCTGTGTTTGCTTTGATGCGGAGAGTGTGGATAAAAGCAAGTCAGCTCTTTTCAGTTTGCACAGGAATGCCACAGCGCTGGGTGTAAATGATGGTGTGAGTAAAAACAGATTTCAAAGCAACAGACAGTCTTGCTGATAATGCAAAAGCTGCAGGATGTGGAATATCAAGGGCACTATTAAATAAATGATTTAACACGGAGCCTTGAAATATATTGACAGCAATAACAAAAGGTCTAGTCAGGGGTCTAATGAGACAGATGGAGGGGATTAACAGATCTTAATGTAAGGTTTAAGAAGACAAAAAGAGCTTATTTCAAAGTCTCAGTCAACCTCAACTCTATAGTATAAACAACATTTTGGTTAGAATAAAAGACAACAATATCGGAAAATATACTTTATGTTTGCTTTGTACAAAATTTCACTGATGTTTTTTTTTTTTTTTTTATCTTAAGAATAAATAAAAAAAACAAGATCTGCACAAAGGCAAAACAAATACTACAATATTTCTGCATCCAGATCCCACAAGCCTTGCGCGAACATTGGTAGTTTCAATAATTTCAGAGATTGCACCATATGGATAGAAATGTGTCCTCCCAGAGCGTGCTAAGTCCCTTGGGTTGAGCCAATTCTGCAAAGTAGGTCTTTAATGGCTCAGTGAACCCCTACCAGTCTGTTCCCAAGGCACACCAAGTCCAGGGGTATTTATTGTGTGTGTAAGGGAATAGCAGTGTTGGCCTGGGGAGGGAAAACAATCTCTGCTGATGATTTGGCCGGTTTAATGCATGGGGGTTGGGGTTGTGTTAAGTTTCAGGTTTTATTGCACTGTAATCCAAGAGGAAATGAAAGACCTCGAAATATCTTCTTTTTTGGTTGCTTTTCTTTTCCAATCAAAGAATACAAGTTATGATAGAGGCAATGTATCTCATAAAAAGCCTGGCTACACTACATGTGGATAATGATAATCCAGTTTTCATGAAAAACATGAAGACAGGTAGATATATGAAAGCTAAAAACAGAGTGCTGCCTTGGCTGAGTGCCTAAACCTACAGTGAAGCAGAGTAAAAAAAATGAATGAAGGAAAAGAAAGGACTCACTGGCGAGGGCCTTCTCATAGTTCTTCCCCATGGCAACAAAGTTCCGCAAGCAAGGGTTGAACTGCTCCATGATAGTCTGAAAGAAAGACAACACATTGTTGGAGGATGAAGGCTCACTTATCACTACAACGGGGTCAAGAGCACAGAGGACTTTCACTGTGCTATACACACTTACCCGTTTCATTAGCCTCCTTTAAGTTAACAACAACCATTTTACAAAGACAAAAACAGTACATAGTTGTGTTTTCAGAAGTATAATGTATTAAAAAAAATTCTTATTTGATTATATAGTTTCGGATTAAAAAATTAATACGGAAACTTCTCAGAACTTTACACCAGAATGTTTATAGGGTTCATAAAACTGAAACGGAGAACTGTTTATGTAGAATAGGAGTCCCTCATTCAACTTTAACTGAATACTGTTTCTGTTTTCATTTAAGGGATTCATCCTCCCATTCCTCTAAATCAGACAAAAACAAAAAAAAAATCAGACAAAAACAAAAAAAAAATGCAACTATATATATATATATATATATATATATATATATATATATATATATATATTTATTTTATTTTTTTACACATTTTTTTATTCATCCACCACCTAACCTGGATTGTTGCAAGATCTGAGATTTTAGTCTCACAACAAATCCATCTTGAAACTCCTGCTAATACGTCAGTCTTGTAAAAACCAGTGAGTCGGACCAATGACATGCCAGCAGTGTTTTTTTGGGGCGGGACATGTAAGAATGACGACAGTCAGAAGAGCCTTGCCTAGGCATGACAACCATGGCTACGCCGGGGGATTCACCTGTCGCAATTGACTCGGTTAAAGCTAAAATATCGACAATAATTGTCGTTTAAAAATGGAGCAAAGAGAAGTATTTTGTGAATTTGTAGATGGGAAAGATGGCTGTGCTTTTTCACCCCCGACAGGACTTGAAAAAGCTGTGATTTATCAGCTTATTCCGCTAGCTGTAAAAACATCACAATTCCCTGCTACTATTGGCGGAAAGGTATTATGGAAGGCGGGTACTAGCTGGCACGTTTCCCAATCAGCTCAAAGTATTGTAGTAAACGTCCCTCCTTTTATTGGACAAGCTGAACGGCAGCCATCCCAGACTGATAACATGGAACTCAACTACACATATCAATCTGGATACTACCAGGTTATCCACAAACATCTTCCTTTTAATTATGCTGGCACTATAGTGCAGTTTATTTCAAAATGGACTACTGAGAAGGAGAAGACGTAAAGAAAAAAGTGATTACGGGTTGAGAATAAAACCTGGAAAATCTCTCTCAAGAACTGAAGCCTTCTTACATAGGCTGTTCCCCCCAACCCTGCACCGCACCTCTTCTTGAGAGATATTTATGTAAGGTAATATCTAAAGAAGATTTAAAGAGGAATGTTAGTTTTTCCTCACTTTTCTGGTTCTTACCAATTATATACAACAATGAAAAACAAGATACTTTAGCCAATAAGTGAGCTACCTTAAATATTTAGCAGATTTTTTTTTGTAAGCACTAACTCTGCTGTGTAAAAAGAACAGGAATAAAAAAACAGAACAAATATTACTTATATAGTCTCTTAATTTTGGCTGATTTGACCTTTTTGCATTTTTTTTATTAAACTGAAATGCAATTTTATTGTTTTATTTCCTCAAATGCATCATCTGTCTTGTAATGTTACTTTAAACACAATGTTCTTCCTCATTTGTTTTTCCACAATTCAGGTACTTTGAATGGTACAAAGCGATTCACAATTAAATAGATCTTTACCATCCACTTTTGCCTTTCTCAATGCATGACACTAGCTACACATTTCAAACCTATTCTATAGCCATTGACAGCAATATCAAATCATTGGAAGAAGCATGAAGAATGTAAAATAGTCTATTTTATACCTCATGACAGGACATTTATCTCTGTTCTACAAAAGAGCAACACCTATAACTCACTATACTGTAATCTTAGGGTTTACAGCTTCAATAAATCACTATCATAGCAGCATGCCGTGTTGTTTTAGGTACACTGGTACTGAAGCATGTACAGCTGCCAAAAAAAAAAAAAAAAAACACCTAAATGTATTCTAAATACATGTAAAATACATTTGAATATTTGTTAAAACATTGTTAATTTAAAATACTTGTTTTACATCCTGTAGATGTACAACAAGTTCCACCAGAGTTTCAGTGTCAAGTGTAAAGTACCTTGTAAAAGTATCCACGTCTTTTGGAATTTTCTATTTCTTTTGACTCACAGCTATGGAGTTAAAATAGAAAAGTGGCTGCACTTTAAATGAGGTATCACATAATATCATCTTGGTAAAACTGGACTAGCATAATCTTTTCTGGGGTGCATGTAATGCATTTACTTCATATATCTTGATATGATTTCAAAGAGCCAATAAATCAAACTATGTACTGCATTGGTACAGATACACTGGACTGCAAATAAAGTCAGTCTAGATGTCTTAGAATGTGAAACACTTAACTCTACCCACAATAGTTTTCCCTACTTCTCATCGACCTCTTCCCCACTTCTTTCTCCTGTGCTCCTCCAGGACTTCTTCCAATTAGTTGGTCCCTAGTCAAACACTCAAGAATAACCCGAGGACAGGAACACAACCACAACAGCGCTGCAGCAGCAATAGTACCAACACAAACCATTAATACTGCAGGAGAAAGCTTAATCATCTACTTCTTGCCTGAATCCACACAATGGCAAAAATGAATAAGCAATGTGCCACAAATGACAACCTAAAACAACCCCATCAGTCCATCCTCCTTCCTCAGTTGGCTTCAGCACTTTCTTCCTTCCTTTATTTTTGCTGTCTGTTGTTTTAATAAGAGCCAAGAGTTTGATTAAACAATATGTTTGTGTGTTCCTGCTGTTCAGTTCAGGTGGCCGGAGTGCTGCATAACCCACCTACAAAATAAATATCAATGACTCACACTTTAACAACTCATCAGCCTTCATTAACAGCAACCTGACAACAGAAACTTCTGTTTTAAAGTAGCCTATAATACAGTCTGCACAACACTAGTTTACAGAAGATTAAGACAATGACCAACAACAGCTAAGATGAGGAAGAGTAGAAATTAAAATAAAAAGGAGTGAAGGATTTTTCTTGTTTCACAAAAAGGAAAAAAACAGTATTACATTCACTACATATCTGAGTGACTAACTCAAGTCCTAGAGGACCAGTATCCTCATGTTTTAAATATTTTCATGCTTATACACAGCTGACTTTAAGGGATAAACAGGCACCTTAAAAAAAACTTGACTGATGAGATCATTTAATTTCATACAAATAATGCAAATTCCACCACACAATATGGAATCATATTTGGTGAAGAAATATATTGAACATTGTAGAATATTGTTATTTTTTGTCCATGAAGCTTGATAAACATAAGCTTTCCAGATTTTTGTGGAAAAAAAGAATACAATAAAATCACAGAACTCTAGTATTGCATGTAAAAATGTTTACTTCTATGCATGGAGCAGCACGCTAACTCTCATTTTTTTCTTTTCTTAGAGAATGTATAGCAGCAAAGCTTATTAAATTTCTTTGGCTATGCAATTTGGATTTTTTTATATTGCAAATGCAGTTTATTTTCCAGTCCTAGTGCTAATGATGCATCTCCTTGAATATAAAAATGATGTTGAATAGTATTAGCCAGATGACTTTTTTTTTTTTTTTTTCACCTACACATACTGTAAGCTTGGTTCAACAAAGCAAAGAGCAGTTGAAACGTTGCAATCAAAATCACGTCAATTGTAGAGCTCTGAATCGATAAAGCTAGAGGAACCTTTTTCTCTCCATTTTGCCTAAAAGTGGATAATTTGAACTACCCTCAGATATATTGCAAACAAAATACCTGCGTCTGCCAATGTAGCTGGCCAAATAAAAGACAAAGAGTTAATGACGAAAAATATCCTGTCTGTCAAGGAAATACTGAGTCGGTTCTGCACTAAAGGAATATTTTACAACAGTTCTGTTTGCTATTATGTCTTTGTTCTAGTAACAAGAATTACATTTGATAATGTGAAGTACAAAATCTAAAGTGGTTAGACTTGTTAAAACCTAAACTTGATCATGCTTCACTAATAAGTGTATTTATATGCAGGTTGTTTCCTTTGGAATCTTACTCTGCTTTCAAGACAGTAAAAGTGAAACTTCATAGGTATTTTTGTCATCAATAGCACCTGATGAGAATAAAAACCTCTGCACTTGGGATAAAAACTTGCTTCCTTGATTCACACAAACTAGAATATTAAAAGTGATACACTTCAGTAGAACAAAGTAGGGTTTTAAAAAGACCTTCAGTTAGGACTGCACACATTAAAATCTACTGTTTATCATTTATCACTGTGTTCAATAACAATACAGATTAGCTAACTATTCAATACTTTTAAGCATTTATGTTCTCTCTGCTCTCAATGCCTGGAATATATTAGTGAAACAGATTTTTATAGGAAGGCAATAGGATTATTTGATAAAGTGTTTAAGAAAAAACAGCAAAGTTATCTTTTTGTAAAATCGTTAGATATATCCAGATTAATCTTTGTTGAGATGGAAGCAGGCTTTTAAATAGCAATATTTCATAGGGTGTACACCTTGGTGTATCACATCTTTAGGCTTTGCACGGTGGTGAGGCATCCGGGGGGTATCCTCCTAAAGAAAATTATGAAATTTAGACTCTCTGAAATGCCATTTCCTGCATTTTGAGATGGAGTGCAGCTAACTTTTTGTCTGTTTTTTGTTACAACACTACTTTTGTCCAGATTATGGGAAGTATGTGTACTTGCCTAGAAGTGGAAATTTCATAAGGAAGATGAGATGATTTTTAGGTACAATAATATGTTTTATAGGTTAATTCAAACAATGAGTAAGTGTAATGCTAAGTTCACACCATACACACTTAGAGCATCAAAAAAAAGTCCCTGCTGCTTCATTTTTGATGCTTGTACACATTAAGGTCAGACGGCCTCAGGAGCCTCAAACATGCCTGAGGTCCAGTCGAGTGTGCTTCTGCTGCTCCTGTGTTCAATGGCAGAGAGCGGCTT